GGGTAGCTATGCTTGCCAGCCTCAGCAGCAGGCTCCAGCACTGCAGGCTGTCCTAGACCCTCATTACATCATCTTTATCTTTGCACTGGTGCTCCCTGTTCAGAGCTGCCTGTCTGAGAGTGGGGAACATTCTGGTGGTTCAAAAGAAGAAAAGGATAAGGAAAGTGTAAGGATAAGAATAAGGAAAGCCTATACCCTTGATACTTTTCAGGGAAAGGTGTGAGACATCTTGTAACTCTACAAGTCATCATTTTCTGGGGTTGGCCCTGAAGAGTGAGAGATCTGGGTTTGTGCCTGAAGTAGAAGTACAGTGGCAAGTGTCATTTTTGGTGCTGGGTTAGAAACCAAAACTCTTCTTCTGGCCTGAATGATGAAATCCTGGAGAAGGGGAATAAGATTTCTCCTTGTATAGATTGAATTTGTTCTTCCTAGTACAAACACCAGCTAGATCTCTTCACAGTATAAGGGGGATCTCTCAGCCCCTCTGACACTTCCCTCAGAAAGATAAAAAACCACTCACATGCTTCCTTGGAGCAGTCTGGGTTCTCAGATCTGTCAGCTGCAGATCACAATTCTCCTAAAGAGGCTCATTACATGAAAACACTCCACAGCTGCAATCAGATCCAGATCTCAGCAGGCCCAGCTCAGTTTTACCTAAGATAACAAATTAGATAACTTGATTCCCAACCAGATCTTTTGTATATGCCAGTTTCCAGGGGATAAACATACAAGGTTTCTCTCTGCACTGCTCCTGAGACAAAGGACAGAATCCCCCTCAAGGAAAATATCCACTTCCCATCAGGTAATTTTTCTGGTGCATGTATTCATTCACTCTGTAGAAGGAGGTTTCTGATGTGACAGATCAGTAATTTTCAGGTTATGAAAACCCTTCATAAAGAAATCAAGTGAAATATTAGGTAGCAATTCTACTTTTCCACTACCTTCCTCCCAGCTATTGGAAACCCAAGATCATGTTATGCAGCCCAGATTCAGTTATCAGTAGTTATCAAATATCCCTGTCCCAACACCCCACCTGGCAGAAAAAAACACAGTTTAGGCTGTTTCTGTGCTTCCCCCATCACTTATTTCCACCTCAGTTGTGCAAGTCAAGCAGAGACAAAAGGAAGAGGCCACAAGATGAACGAAGACAGGTCCAAGGCAACCCCCTAAATCTATGGAACCAAGAAACAATCCCAGGGTATCACATTTGAAACTGTAATTCCAGTAGGCCTTATTTTTTTTTTTCTTTTCTGTTTTACTGCCTGGTTCCTGTAAACAGCCCTGATTTGCAGAGCTGCTGTGAGCTATTGGCACTGTGGATTTAATTGGTACATGCAGTTCCACCCCATAGCCCACAGAGCTCTCTGGAGCACTGCCTCTCCTCCAAGTTTTTTAAAGAAATGCTGTTAATATCCTCTGATCATTTCACACCTCTCTGATGATACAGAGTGCAGAAGTACCCATAGTCTCGATTTCTCAAGCTGCTTCACACACACTCAGATAACACATTTAAATTTTGCTGTCACCCACTCCTAATCCATCTCAGGCAGCCTGGGGGTGGGGACTGAGGATGAGGAAATCCATTCCCTGCCAGTTTGAAGTGCACACACTCTGGAACACAAACAATCCATGTGAGGAACTTCTCAAAGGAACTTAAAATCAGCAGCTAAAATGTTGAGTGTTAGTGAGATAAATGCTGCTCTTGGCTTCATCTAATTTCTTGGAGACAGTTCTGATGCTTCCCAGAAGCAGCACCTCAGGCCCCAAACAGCTTTAGGGTAGTGCAGAAAGCAGTCAGAGCTCTGCAGCTCTTTAACCACTGGACCAGCAGTGTCCACTGGCTGCTTTCCTTTGCTAATTACAGGATTCCTTCTAGAGATGTGACATTATATCAAGAGGTTCTAAGCATATTTTGACTGCTTTAAACTAAAATCTAAATTACCTCCTTTGCAGCAGTACTGCTCTCTTATTAATTAGTTCCAGCACCTAATAGTTATGATGAGAAAAGACTTGAGGTACATGCTAGAAAGCATCACAAGGAAACATATAAACCTTAAGTGGTATAAATTTATGGGGGGAAATGTTGCATCAGCATCAAACTTCCACTTCAGAAATACCTTTTGTCTTCATTTAAACCAGATAAGAATTAGTGCCTGGTGTTATTACTTAGCATTTTAATAAGAGCACTATTTAATTTTAATTTTCTCAGTTGAAGACTCTGCAATATACTTCTATTCAGCAGTTTATGAAGAGGAAGCTCCACTGGCCTTATTTTTAAGGTAAAACCCAGATTATCACCTACATTTCTGCATGTTTAAGCATTTGAAACAGTTAATCAGTCCACTGAGGCAATGTCTGAAATCACTGAAGTTTCATAGTTTGTATTGCACTAGGTTTGTTCTTTTCTCTTTAGTTATTACCAGAGCCATCAAACAACAACAAAAAATCTAGGTTTCTTTTCATTTTAATGATGAAAGTAGATACTTCATTTACTAAAAAGGTTCAATTCATATTCACTAGCTGTGCTCCCAGTTTTAACCCTGCTGGAAGCTTTTATTTCAACAGCCCAATGCTGACATGCACAACCTTTAGAAAAGTGTAACTGCAAACAGAAATTAATGTCTGAAAATGTAATTAAACATTCTAAATGGAAAAGATCAGCAAAGGCAGTTTTCAATGCTCTTCTTTGTCCTTTTCATCATGCATTAAGGTTGAAAAGTACCTCCAAAAATCATTGAGTCCAACCTGTGAGCAACCACCACCTTGTCAACCAGACTGGAGCACGGAGTGTTTTGTGCACAGTTCCAGAGATGGTGATTTCACCCCTGCCCTGGGCAGCCTGTTCCAGCATTTATCCATCCTTTCCATGAAAAAATTCCTCCTGATGTCCAACAGGAACCTCCCCTGGTGCAGTTTGAGGCCATTTCCTCTTATCCTGTCCTTGGGAGAAGAGTCTGATCTCCACCCTCCACTGAAGACAGTGAGAACGTCCCTGAGTCTCCTTTTCTGCAACCTGAGCCCCCCCAGCTCCCTCAGCTGCTCCTCAGAGGACTGACACTGCAGACCCTTCCCCAGCTCCATTCCTTTCTCTGGACATGTAACAGCCCCTCAAAATCTTTCTTGCTGTGACAGGCTCAGAACTGGATGCAGCACTCCCGGTGTGGTTTCACCCAGGACAGAGAGGAATTCACTGGCCTGGTCTTGCTGGTCACACTACAGCAGGTACAGGCCAGATGCCCATGGCCTCCTGGCCCTCTGGGGCACACCTTGCCTCACGTTCAGCCACTGTGAGCCAGCACTGCCAGGGCCTTTCCCATCAGGGCAGCTTCCCAGCCCCTCTGCCCCGAGCCTGTGCTGCTCCCATGCACTGCCTCACCTCGCCTTTCAACCACTCCCTCAATTGCCTTATGTACCTTGTCCCTCCATTGATTACGGCTCACCTGCCTTCTCCTCCCCACCCCTCCCTTGCCTTGCCTTACAAAGCTCTCACTTGCCTTGTCCACCACCCCTTCCCTTCCCCTCCCCTCCCCTCCTATGCCTTGATTTCCTTCCCTTGCCTCGCTGTACCAATCCCTCCCTTGCCAGCCTGTTCCATGCCTTGTTTATCTGATCCTTCCCGGCCCCGCCTGGGGGTACCCGGACCCACGGGAAGGGCTCCCGGCCTCGCCTGGAGGTACCGGAACACACGGGAAGGGCTCCCGGCCTCGCCTGGAGGTACCGGAACCCACGGGAAGGGCTCCCGGCCTCGCCCTCCAGCCCTCACCCCCGAGCACTCCCGGCTCCCCTCGGCCGCTCCCCACAGACCCCAAGCCCCGCCCACCCGAACTGAGGCAGCACCCGGCCCGGCCAATCCCGGCCCGCCTTTCTTCGCCTCGTCCAATCACGGCCGCCCTTTCAATCCGGCCGCCTTCCCGCCAAGCTCTGCCCGCTCAGCCACCGCCCCGCTCCTCAGCCCGGCCCCGCCTCCCCGCTCGCCTGAGGCGCCGCTCCGGGAGACGGCGGAGGCGCGGCCTCGCTGCGGCAGCCCGCGGCAGGTGCTTCTGGGGCCCAGGAAGGGCCGGCGGGGACTCCCCGTTCGGGCCCTGGCTGGGAGCTCTCCCCGGGGAAGGAGGGGACAGCGGGGAGCGGGCGGGGCCGGCTCCCGGAGCGGCGGAGGCAGGGCCTGAGGGGAGAGCGGAGCTCAGGGAAATGAGCAGGGCGGGAACAGGCGGGCCGGGAGTGGCTGGGCCGGGCATGCCCTGTGAATGTGATTGGCTGGGCCGGGCATGCCTTGTGAATGTGATTGGCTGAACCGGGCATGCCCTGTGAATGTGATTGGCTGGGCCGGGCCGCGCTGTGCCGACAGGAGGTTATAAATGCGGTGTACAGGTGAGCAGCGGTGCCAGTGCGGCAGCGCGGACGCGAGTAGAGGTGAGAGCTGCAGCGCCGGCCCGAGGCAACCTTAGAACCCTTCACAGAGCTCCCATCGGGCCACGGGGCAAGGCAGTGGTTGGCAAAGTCTAACAAGGGAGGGCTTACATACCCCTTCCTTGCTTTGTTCTGCCTCTGCCTCCTTGTCCTACCTTTTCCTAGCCTTTTCTAACCTTGCTTTCCCTGCCACTTCCCTGTCTTGTCCTTTTATGCACAGAAAAGATGCATTGTTTCTTTATTCATGTCTAACACTTGTTTAGAGAGCCATAGGTTTAAAAACTGACCTGTTTTAGGGACATCAGGTAAAATGTGTGGCTCAGCAGCGAAGGGGGCCGGGGGGCAGACCCTGAGCCACCCACAGGAGATTGGGGGCTCTGTCACACCCGTGACTGGGAGGTCGCTCATGGAGCCCCACCTGGCTGTCGGGCTTGGCTCTGCACCTGTCACAGGCTTGGCAGCACCAGGGGTATCCAGAGGGAGGAGGAAACATTATGGCTGCAGAAACATCCACAATGACCTTTAAAGAACAGCTTGGGCTTAACGAGGCAGGTGAGCAAATCCCTGCCCCGAGCAGCAAGCAGAGACAGGAGTCACAGCAGGGGACAGACAGATTTATTATGTTTCTGGGAGCAGCGCCATTACATGTTGCTGGGGATAAGGTTACCCCCTGCAGCCAGAGCAGAGAGATGGGCTGGGATGGTTATTCAAAGTGATGGGAACAAGAAGCTGCAGCCAAACCCCCGGGATCTGCTGCCAGCGTGCTGCTCCATGGGTCGCTGCGGCATTCGTGCAGCCAGCATCTGCCACAGCCACTTCCACAACATCTTCCCAGCAACATCTCAAGGGCCAGGGCATGGCACAGGAGTCAGTGCAGCCTCTTGGCTCCCACCAGGGAAGGAAGGGCTTAAGACAAGAATAAATACAGCTTTCAAAGTCACCCTGACACCCCACCCACTGCTGCACAGCCTGGTGAAGGCGTTTACGGAAGGAGATCTGTCAGCTGGAATCCAGCAAAGGAGCAGAGGCATCTGAAGGGTTAACACTGACTCGTTCGTATCCTGATCTCCTCCACCAGGCTCTCCCTTCGAACATTGACCTACACGAGGGAAACAAAAAGTTCCTTCAATACAACTCCAGCAGCTTGACACATCACCACAGTCGTGGCCCTGTGTCTCAGGGGGTCACACCAAGGTGTCACCAACCTCTCTACAGGGATCAGGTGGGCTGCAGTAGCCACAGAGCTGAACCTGTAAGAGCAGGCACACACCAGCAACCCCAATAAACCCTCTCCTGCATAATGGTTGTGAGAAAGATGCTCTTCCCACACTTTCCTATTGGCTCCTAAGTTACTGATCTATGCAGTGATCGTAGCCAGTGACCTAGGCACTGATTCCAGTGCTGCCTGTTTTGGGAATCTGTCCTGAGGGAGCAGTTCAGGGCTAACCAAGTTCTGTTCAGTCTCACTCATTCCAAGAGCACCACTGAATCACCCCTGCATGCTCCAGGCTCCTGAACTGAGCAGTTCAAGGAGGCCACGTGATAGGAAACTCCCCAGAGCTGGACACAACAGCACTCCATGACTCCAGGGAGCTGCATGGGGCAAGGAACTGAAATATAGGGTGTTACAGAACTTGCTGGAAACACCACTGGGTCTGGAGGGTTGGGCTGAAGGGTCACATAGCCAACCCCACCGTGCCACAGGCCATACCTCCTCCCTGGTTGCCACGATCCGCAGCTTGACAACTCCATCTTTGAGCTCCTGCTCACCCACAATGGCAACGAGAGGAATGCCTGTCTCCTCACAGTACTGCAGCTGATTCAGCAGCTTGGGGTTCTTCTTGTACAGCATCTCTGCCTGGGAGAAAGCCAGAGCACAAATCATCAAACTGGGATGTTTCACTGTACCCCTTCAAGCAGGCACTGCTGGGCCAGTCTGGTGAGTGTGAGGTTGTGTGGTGGGGACAGGATGGACTCCTGGAGAAGGCTGGGCACCAGCTTCCACAAGGCCTTGCAGTTACAGGGCTAACCAAGTCCTGCTGCCCAGCCCTTCCTGGACAGCCCATGATTTGGGACACTGAGAAGAGGAAGGCTCCATTCAGGAAGGCAGTGTCTGCTCCCCACCTCCTCCCTGTAACTCCTTCCCAAAGCAAAGCCAGATCTGCTCCATTCCCAGACAGAGTGAACCAGGCAGCTCTTGGCTTTGCCAACAGCCAGTCATACCTTGATTCCAGCATCCCACAGTTCGGAGATGAGCTTCAGTCGCTCTTCAAGGAGCTTCTTTTGGGCAGAGGCCACCAGCACCTGTGTCTCTGTTGTCCTGATCTTTTCCTCAGAGGCCTAGACAGGGGACAAGACCCAGAAGATGCCACAGACACACCAAGACACCTGAGATTCTATGGGCAGGATGGGTCACCACTCAGCTCCATCAATCTAGCAGTGAAAAGGACTGGGCTCAGAGGGATCAACAGCCTTAACTCAGAGAAATCCCACAGATCCCATCCTAGAGCAGAATCAACTGTCAATGATGCTTGCTTAACACAGCCTCCCTCATGTTTCTCCACACCCAAGGGCCTCCTAAATATCTGCTCCAAGCAGCTCAGAAGCAACACACTCAGCAGAAGGTGGACACAGGCAGGTGCCTGCTCTTCAGCTGAGGTTCAAACTATGGGTTAAACAGCAGCAAGCTGAATGCTCCACCAGCCCCTCTGGCAGATGTTGGATACTCCATGTGGCATTTCCCTGCTGCCTTGCTGAAGGGAGAAGCTTTTAAAAGGTCACCTGCAAAGGAACAAACCTGGCCAGGACTGGAGGTGGTGGGGGAGGAATTCAGTTTCTATTTAGAAATTCCAGTTGTGTCTGGCTGCCGAGAGAGAACTAACACCAGGCTTCTGGGGGAGGGGAACATGTAGCCCATTTTGGGAGCTTACAAAGACCTATTTAACACCCATTGATTGGAATGGAGAACAGTACAACTTTGAGGACAGGGATGAGGAAAAATCTATCTGGGAAACCCCTAGAGGCATTGCTGTTCCTGCCCTGGAACATGTGGTACCTGTCTGGTCTCTGCAGTGCCACAGGCAGGACAAATAGATGTGTGAGGCTGCTGCCCCACCGAGGAGGACGTGGGCTCACATGGATGCCTAATGCAGTGGGGAGCACTAAGGTACCTGCCCCTGCTGAAGATTCAAGTGCCCCCACCAGCTGCAGCTGGAGAAGCCATGTCTAAGGGCTGTGGGAAGAAGGCTCTTGTTCTCAGTGGGAGCCTCAGATACCATCCACCAGGCCAGAGAGAACTGGAGGTTATATCCTGCTTCTGACTCCTGGTGCAGAGCACAGCATTGGCCTGGCTGGCTTCTCCAAAGGCTGGGGCAAGGAACACTCACTTCAGCATCTGCTGGAGTGGGGGATTAACCATGCTCAGCTCAGCACCAAAGGCACCCACCTCCAGTCTCTGTTCCAGGATGGAGAAGATGCGCTCGATGCCGATGCTGACCCCCACGCAGGGCACCTTGCGGCCCTTGGCATCAAACATGCCCACCAGCCCGTCATAGCGGCCGCCTCCGGCCACGCTGCCAACGCTGAGCGGCTCCTCCAGGTGCTCGTTGTCCTGCTGCAGCAGCACAGCCTCAAAGATCACCCCCGTGTAATAGTCCAGGCCCCGCGCCAGGCTCAGGTCGAAGGAGATCTGCGGGGCACAAGGGCGGCCCCGTCACCGCCCGCTCGGGGCCCAGCGGGGCAGCTCCCCCTCCTGCCCCCACAGCTCCTCACCTTCCCTGTGATGCCAAACAGGGTCAGGTACTCAAACAGCAGCTTCATGTCCCCCAGCCCTTCCTTGGCCACCTTGTTCTGGGATAGCTTTGGGTCCTGGAGAAGCTGCTCGATCAGGTCCAGCCCACCTGTGAGGAACAGCCGTGCCTCAGCTGTGCCAGGGCAGCAGCACCCGGCACGGTGGCCCCGGCCAGCCGGGGCTGTGCCCTGCACCTTCCATCCCCAGCCCTGAACAAGGCCGAGGGCAGCACCCCCTGGTGCTCACCATGGAGCTGGACATACTCCCCGATGCGATCGGCAGCCTCGGGAGAGAGCCCCTTCTCTCCCACCATCTCACTCCTCACTTCTTCCCATGGCACCTGTCAGGGGAGAGAAGGGCATCAGCCACTGCACCAGGGACATGGGCTCTCCTCTGCATGGCAGAATCCCACCATCATGGTTAGAAGGTGCATGACAGCAGTAGCAGCTCTCAGAGCTCAGTCATGTGTGCATAACTCCATTTCTTGTACCTCTGCACAGCCTGTCTGTATCTCAACCCTATAAAAATACTTCTAGTTTGATTTCTGGCCAGAATCAAATATCAGCACTGTATAACCACCAAGTCTGAGACCCATCTTGCTGCTGTGGTTTCCCTGGTTAGGTACTTAGTCATAAACACCACTCAGGAAAGTGTTGCTGGTCATGGAATCACCTGGAAAGGTGTAAGGTATTGCTTGGGTAATGGAAAAAACCCAGTGGAAGCATAACATGCTGCCATCTTCCCACTGACCACAAGTCAGAGAACCAGCATCTTGATCTCATCCAGCTGCCCTGAGATAAATCACAAGGAAACGATCCCATCAGAAAGAAGCCCAGTGCTCCCTTCCCATTGCTTTTCCACACGTACACAGCCCCAAACTCCAAACTCTGGTCATGCCTCTGCAATGCATCTCTGCTAACAGGGCTGTGAGTGAGACCCCCTCCAGTTGCCTGATGAGTCCTCCACAGGAAAAGGCAGTTCACCCTTCAACAAAGGACCATGACCACATGTGATGACACACAAGCTGCTGGTTTTAACATGCCCTAGCCTAATTTGGTGCAGGTTTTCATGAGCCTGGTTCATAACCACCAACACCTTGAGCAGGTAAAGATTTGGGATATTAAATCTCCTATGTGAAGAGCATTTTTCCCCTCCCATCTTTCTTTTTATCAGGACCTCATGGGATAACAAAGCAGAGGATCCACTCTTCCTATGTGAATGCTGTGCCCTGCACTATCCCCTCCAGGGAAAGGTGGGAACACCTGGATGCTTATCAGCATTTTGCAGCCAATTCTCATGGACCATGGCTCATTCACTGAGACTCCAGCAGCAGCAGATGCAGCCTGGAGCTCCAGCCCATACCTTATCCAGCTTGTCAACACTGGAGCAGATGGTTCGGAATTTGCTGTCCGGGACCCCACACACTGCAAACATCCCATCAAGGATGCGCCGGTCGTTGACCTGGGGAAAGGGAGAACATCAGGAATTATGAACTCAAGCAGATGCTTCAGCCTTGTCCTGCTTCACTCCCTGTAGTTTTAAGCATGGAAGAGAATATAGGAGACGTATTGAAGGGGGGGTTTTGCTATTTGTCATTTCTGTTTCCCATTCTTGGGGAGCTGAGCTTCCCAGAGCAGAGCAAATAGCACAACTGACATCTACCAAGCCTGGGCAGAGCCATCCCATTCTTTCTAGAGCTGTCCAGACACCTCCACTCAACAGAGAAAAAAAAACCATCAGGGCCTATGAGTCCCCTCATGTGGACATGTAAAACCAGCTCAGGAACAGACCACAGCCAAGGAGATGAATTCAGAGTATTACCTTACACTATCAGCCTAAAACAAAAGGGAAATCTGATTATATTAAATCTTCAACAAGGATTTATTTTTTTTTAACTATAGTATAGTGAATTCTATAGCTTAATTATGCTCTGTAAGAGCACATAGTTAAGGCCAAAGACTCAGCTGCATTCAACATTTCCATGGGTAGTGAGAATGTCTACAATTAGTTAGGAACAAAGAAACTGCACAGGAATTTGGAATCCTCCAGCATCAACATAAACCAGAAAGTGCCTTGTGGGAGACAAGAATAACCACAGCAGGTTATTCTGTTGCTCCCCACTGCAGGAGTGTCTGCACCCTCAAGGGCACCACTGCCCAAACCCAGTTCCTTCATCTCACCTGAGACAGGTACAAGGGGAAGTGCCTGGCCCCTGCTCCATGGGGCTGCAATAGGAGCACAACATCCAGCCTGCAGTGCCCAGGAATGGCCCAGCTCCAGGTCCCTCACAGATCCCACTGCCCTCCTGTGCATCCAGCACTCCTACCCATTGCTCTACTGCACCTGTGCACTCTTCCCATCCTGCCTCACCTACACACTGAGCACCATCTGCTGCCATCCCAAGGGAACAGAGGTGTCTGGAAGCAAATAGCAGGCTCAGCCTACAGTAGGGCACAACTCTTGGTCTAGAAAATGCTTCAGCTCCAAAAATGACTTGGTGGAAAGGCAGGAGTCTGCAGGCAACACCACACACACAGAGCAGATACCCCTGCTGGGATAAGGGCAGGAATCCTGGACCAGAGCCTGTTTTACTGCAGGCAGTGAATATGACAATCACCTGCTTAGATAGATATTAGGAAGACATTTTTTATTATAGAGGTGGTGAGGCCCTGGCACAGGTTGTCCAGAGAAGCTGTGACTGCCCCACTCCTGCAAGTGCTCAGGACCAGGCTGGACAGGGCTTAGAACAACCTAGGATAGTGGAAGGGGTCCCTGCCCATGGCAGGGTAATGGAACTGGATTATATTTAAGGTCCCTTCCAACCCAGCCTATTCTATCATTGTAGCTGGCTGCTGGAATTTTGCAAGGGACCGTGGCTAGTTCTGGAGAGAACACTGTCAGCTGCAGCCTCAGGAAAACTCCTGTCATTCCCAGCTCAAAGCAAATCCAAGTGGAGGTCCAATCTTTAACACAAGGGGAAGCTTCCAGGCAGAGAGGAGGGACAAACTTCTGGGTCAGGCCTTAGAGTGGGAGCAGGTGCCACTGTGTAAAAGCACAGAACAATGACCACTGCTTCCCACCATGGCACAGAGAACCCAGCCAGTCTCACCTTGATGACAAAGTCCCCGAGCTGCAGGTCACTGAGGATCTCGTGCACAATCTTCAGGCACTCGGCATCGGGAATCATGGGGTCAAACTGCCCGGCAATGTCAAAGTCCTGGGGGCACAGGAAAAGGCAGTGAGCAATTCAGCACCACAGCATGGCTGCAGAAAGACACCTTCAGCTGCTGGGAACAGCAGTTTGTATACAAAACCCTACAGAACTGGGATGTCAGGGAGCATTATCCCTTACAGAGGCAGTCCAGAAGGGACAGGATGTGGGTAAGGGCCTCTACCATGGAAGGCAGCAGTGCTCTCATGTCCACTGCATTTCAAAGAGTTTGCACACTGCAGCTGCTGTGTGATACTCTGAAACAGAGATCCTCAAAAAACAACAAAAGGAGGAGCAGCAGTAAATAAATAGAACAAAGGAACCAGAAAGAAGAGGAAAAATTACTTCTCATTTGCTATGACCTAAATGCCAAATGTTTGGCCTTGATTCCTAGGATGCTTTTTTTAATACACATGCCAACCAAGTTAATGATTAGGGAAGGCAGAAGAAGGAAAACCAGAGTTTCAATTGCTAAGACAGAAAAAGCAATCAGGAACCCTGAGTGGTCCCCACCAGAGATCACCACGTGAACTAACACACAGAAGAACCAAAGCCCAATATCAAGAAGCTTTAATAGGCTGGTATCCCATGACTGGAAACAACATCAGTGTTCAGAGAGAAATGAAACACAGAAGCAAGAGAGCCCATCTTCAATTCCTGTTTAGGAATCCCCAAATGCAAAGTCTTCTGTGAGATTTTGGGTTCAAGAATACTTTTTGTTATGTGGATATATTTCAATAGGGCTTCACCAAGCTCTCAAAATAAACAGGGGCATTGGAGGAAGAGATGGGATCACACAGTTAATTCCTGATCAGCTGAGTGCAAAAAGGGCTGATGCAATCCTTGGGAAAGTTGGGTGAGGAAGTACAGGAAGTGTACAGGAAGTCAGGAAAGTGCTGATATCGCTGTAAATGGCACAGATGAAATGTCATTGAAAAAAAAAACAAAAAAACAGGGGCTGGTGAATTATATTGAAGAAAAGCTGCAGGAAAAGGTCCTAGGCTGAGAAAAGAATGAAAACATATCCAAGGAGAGAAGGTAACAGAGGTAACAGAGCTTGATTTATATGGTCTAAGGAGGGGAAGATTTCTCTAAACATTTCCCAAATGTTTACCTGGGAAAGGGGTAGAATAGATATCAAGGGATGATAGTTAGTATTTTAAGAGCTGAACTCTTTAAACTAGAGGAAGGAAACAATCAGATACAAATAAATTTAGCCTGGATATTAGGAGACCATTTCTAGCTATCCTAGGAGTGAGATCTTGGAGTAGATGAGACAGGAGGCAATGACCCCAAGTCATCTGGAAACAAGAATCACCAAGCCAAAGCTGGAAGGTATTCCCAAGGGTTGTATAATGAAATAGGAATATTCTCAAACAAAATAAATAGTTTGCAATATGAGTCCCTGGGGATTGTGTCAATAGAGCAGAGCAAAGCTGTTGTTCCCTAGGGCTGCCCTGAGAGAGCCATGAAAGAAATTGTTTTGTTACTTGTTCTGTAATTTGGGTTTTCCCTTCCTTTGAAGTTAGAACTGAGTAAACATGGAAGGGGAAGTACGGTATGTTACTGCCTTGCCTGGTCGGTATGTCCTGCTAACACACCCAGAGCTGAACTGTTTTCCAGATTTGGGATCAGAAGGAAATTCTTCCCCACCACCCATCCAGCAAGCACTGTGGGATGGAGCAAGGAGCTGCCCTCCCAAACAGTGCAAAGGAGGTGATACCTGGGGGCTCTATGAAGTTCCACACCACGCCAGCACTGTGCCACAGCTGTCACACCCACTCTCCCATTCTCCAGTTGTTTTTCACACTCATAAGGACACACTAAGGAGAAGATTAGTGGATCCTTCAGAGCTTTCCACAGGCACAGGGAAGGGTAACACAGCTGTTATTCTGACAGTGCTATGTGTCCACAGGCACTGCCCAGCCCAGAGCCTGTCCCAGCAGTGTCCCTGCCCACACTCACACACTGGTAGAACTCGCGGTAGCGGCCCCGGGTCATGGCCGGGTTGTCCCTCCTGTACACCTTGGCAATGTGGTAGCGCTTGATGTTGGTGATCTTGTTCATGGCCAGGTAGCGAGCAAAGGGCACCTGAGACAGAGTTCAGGATGAACACGAGAAGGGATCATCCCCCCAGTTGTCAGTCAGAGGCAGCACTGGGTCCTCACTGTCTCCCACACAGCAAAGAACTGCTAAGAGACAGCTGGATTCCTCCCAGCTCCCCAAGGTCTCCACATGCTGCCTCCAAGTGTCCCTTCAGGATTCTTCCAGCAGCACCTTGGGCTGGATCTCAGTCTCACATGGGCTGTGTACTGCAGCAGCCTGCTCTGGGAACCCTGCCTGGAGAAACCACACTCACACAGATCTTCTGTACTTCCACACACATGGGGCATGAAGCTGTGTCAGGAGAGGGTCAGGCTGGATGCCAGGAAAAGGTTCTTCCCCCAGAGGGTTGTTGGGAACGGGCACAGGCTGGTGCCCACAAGGAAGTGGTCATGGCACCAGACCTGAGAGAACTCAAGGAGTGTTTGGAAAATGCTCTCAGGCACTTGGCTGGAGTGTCCTGTGCAGGGTCAGGAGTGGGACTTAATGATCCTTGGGGTCATTTCCAACTCAGGATATTCCATGATTCTATGCATTCCTTCACCAAACAGAAGCAATGCAGAGTAAATAACCAAGCAAGGGTTCTGCACCACTGAACCACACTGCCTGCTCATGCTCTCCTGTCAGTTTGGGGTCCCTCCTCCCCCTCAGGACAGTGCTACCCCAAAAGGAGGGCTGCCAAGGCCCCTTAGCACCAGCTGTGGCAGGATACTGTCAGGTCATAGCGCAGGGAGAGCAGCTCTCCTCCCTGATCCTTTAGATCGTAGATGAGCTTCGAGTCTTCCCCGTATTTCCCTGTCAGCGTCTCCTACAACAAAACACACGAACAAACAGCATCTTCAGTGACAGGGATTAGGCCCAGAGCACACAGAAAACAAGGAAAGGGAGAATGCCTAGGAAGGGAAGGGAACTCAGCTCTCAGCACTCAGCCAGCCTGCTGCGTCCTCACCCACCTTCAGCTCAAACACCGGCGTGTCAATGACCTCGGCCCCGTGGCGCTTGAAGCAGGAGATGATGGCTTTGAAGGCCCTCTCACGGATGGCCATTTCCTTGGGGCCAAAATCCCGGGTGCCCTGGGGTGAGGGAACAAAAGGAGCAAAGGATACTTTGGGTTAGAGGCATGACATGAGAAAGATGCTGCCATACTGCTAACAAAACCAGAGAGAGCAGGTCCAGACACCAGATATTGGTAAACAGCACTAAAAACGTTGGAAAACATCAGGACACAGCTCAGACAGAGTCTGCCATGGTCTGCAGAGTGAAACCTAAGTCAGGAGTTTCACAGTACAGGAAAGAAAGGGGATAAAACAGATCCAGCAGTCAGAGTTCAGTGCTTTTGAGCCTGACAGTGCAACCAGGACCTGTCCTCAGCTCTGATGCAGACCTGTTAGCCAGACCCCTGCCCAGTGAGCCCCCCCAAAGGTGGAAACAGAGGGCAGACATGCTCTGAAACTGTGCAATAACCATCACCTCTGCACTTTCCAAACAGAGAGAAAAATCACCTTTCAAAATGCAACACCTGTGAAATGTCTGTCTACAATTCACAGGGCCATGCACCCTTTCCATTTCTTTGGTGTCAAGGATCACTGAATTATTTCAATGACCCATCTTCATGCTCTCAGTAACATTAAATAATTGTTATTAGCTAGACCTCCAACTTCCACTTTATAAAAACCTGTTAGGCAGGAGGAAGCACCCCCACCCACAGATCACTCAGGTGGCCTTCAGCTGCCTTCGGCAAGCCTGAGATAGGCTGGAAACACAATTGAGCTGCAAAATCCCCTTCTCCACACTTTAAAACAGTGAAATACCCTTCCACTTTCCAGGCATCACACCACAATTACATTCAACAAAACATATCATAAAGGAAATAGACAAAGGGACAGTTTTGAGACTTTTAAATATTGGGAATAAATTCTTCCCTGTGAGGTTGCCCAGAGAAGCTGTGACTGCCCCATCCCTAGAAGTGTCCCAGGCCAGGCTGGATGGGGCTTGGAGCAACCTGGGATAGTGGAAGGTGTCCCTGCCATGGCAGGGAGGTGGAATAAGATGAGCTTTAAGGTCCTTCCAACCCAAACCACTCCATGTGTCTATGATTTCCTATGTCAGTGGCATCACCATAGCCTGATTTGTTTGTGAACAGATTCATAACTGTCTCCACAGCACAGCATGGGAGCAGGTGGTCTCTGATCAGCTGCCAGTGGTGAAACATTCAGGTTACAAAGTATTTCAGCAGAAATTGCATTATGGACACTATTCTTAGGGGCCTGGAGGCTGAAAAACCACTTGTAAAGGAAGGGTCCTTCCAATAGAGGACATAAATTCCAGCAGCTGGCCAGACCTGTTCAGTAAATGAGCCCCTCAGACCAAGGACAGATATGAGCCCTCTCACACTGAGGGCCTACAATAATTAGGAGGGAATTTCCTGACCACACCAGCAGTGGTTGGAATGTCACAGAAGCACCCAGAAGTCTCTAAGATGGTGAGTATCCAGGCTGAATGCCGTCAGGAAATGTTTCCATCCCTCTCCCCCTTGTTGCTAAAAGTGAAAGTGGAAACAGAAATGTGAACAAAGACAGGTGTGGCCATGCTGGACCTTGGCCCACAGAAGTGTGGGGGGTGCTGGCTGTGTGTGTGGAGGAGGACATGCACACAGAGGGGCACAGGAGAGGGGAGTTACCTTTGGGGTCTTCAGCACAAACTTGTGCTTCCCCTCATCTGTCCCCAGCTGCGCCTTCATCTCGAGCAGCTTTGCCACTTCCTTTGCAATCTGGGGATGGAGAAGGAGGGAGCTGGGGATAAGACCACCCACCAGCCCCAGCCCATGCCTTCCCCTGTACCTTCAACCTCAGCATTCCCAGTGCACCTGGACTCCACAGCCTCAATACACCCACTATTCCCAGTTTCTCAGCAACCAGAGGGACATTCCCTGCTCCTCTCCAGCACTTCCCACTTCTCATACAAGCACCCCTATCTCAGCAACGCAAACACCCCCACCATTCCCTGACTCCCACGACCTCCATTATCACCCACAGCTACGTCCCCATTCCTATCCCCACCACCACCAGCTCCTGCTACACGCACCAGCATCAGCTGTTTCCAGCATCCTCCTCCCAAGCATCCTTCCCTTCCATCTAACACCGCTATCCCCGGTTCCCACCACGAGTCTCCTCTGCACCCTCAGCCCTTCCATTTCCCAGCGCTGCACTTCCCACCCTTCCCGACCCCTCTTCCCAATGCCCCAGCCCAGGCCCGAGCGTCCCCACACCGGCATTCCCAGTTCTCCCCGCACCCTCAGCCCCGCCGCCCTCTCCCTGCCCAGCACCGGTGCCCGCAGCTCCCCAAGCCCCTCTTGCCCATCCCAACACGGCCCCCGTTCTCATTCCCCGCCGCTCCCAGCCATACTGCTGCTCTCCCGGCACCCCATTCCGGGAGCACCGGAGCTCCCGCACCTCGTCAGCATCGGCCTTGTCCTGTTTGAGCCTCCGCACGGTCTCCGCCTGGGCCCGCACCGCCGCCTCCTCCGCCATGGCGAAGCCGCGCCCGCCCCGCGCACGCGCAATTCCCGCGCCGCCGCTGCCGCCGCGCACGCGCAGCGCCGCCAGCGCGGGGAAGTGAAAACCGGAGGGCGCGGTTTGGGTTCATTATCGGGGGTTTTGTTTAATATATAAAAATACAGTGTTCCCACGCGCGCCCCGGCCTGCGCAGCTGCTCCACCCGCGGTGATGGGACACAACTTCCTCCAGGGCGCTCCCGCAGCTCCGCGCCCGCCGGCAGCGCCCGGCTGCGGGTTGGGACCGGCCCTGCTGCCCGAACAGGGGCGGGGGTCCCTTCCACCGCCCCCCTCCCTGAGCTGGCAGGTCCCCAGCACACCACGGGTTCCCCCTCCCAAATCTGGAGTTCCACCTGATCCTGCTTGAGCTTCACCGCATCCATCAGTGCCACCACCACCTCCAGTGACGGAAATGGCTGTACAGGGACTGCAGGATTAGGAACCCGCAAACTTGACCTTCAGAGAAGCTAACCTGAAGGTTAACCTGGTGACTGCACCGTCCATAGCTTCTAAAACCGTCTTACTCCTCAGTTCTCACTGCCTGAGCCGAGGCAATGAGCCTTAGGTCAGTGGATGTCCCCAGACCACAGCTGGCAGGGAGGGGATGAGGGTGCTGCAGGGTTCCAGCTGTGCAGTTCTGCCAAGCAGCTCCAGCCAAAGAAGTCCTCAGGGCTCCAGCCTTCTCCTGATCTCATCAATAAGCTTTTCTCTGGGGATATCAACCTACAAAGCAAACAGAGCAGCAGTAGAGAAGAGCACTTTTAAGGACTAAGTGAGGATACCAATGCAGTTTGTGACTGGTTTTCTGTAGTCACCTGATAGATCTGTGCTATGGCCTCCCATAGGAACACTGAGGGAAAACCCAGAGCTCTTCAGTGATCTCCAGAGTCTGGAAGTACTTTAACACCTGGTGTAAAAGGGCATTCTCACCTCCTTTCTTGTTGCAACATCTCGCAGCTTGACAACTCCATCTGCCAGCTCCTGCTCTCCCACAATGGCAGCAAGGGGAATCCCTGTGTCCTCACAGTACTGCAGCTGCTTCAGCAATTTAGGGTCCTTCTTGTACAGCATCTCTGCCTAGGAGGGAATGGGAAGGGTGAACCACTAACCCAACTTTGCTCTGATGGATACTGCAGTAAAGCACCAAAACCAAACCCTGCAGCAACCACTTTACTGCTCTGGGCTGTTCTTCTCTGCCTGCCTAGATCTAAAGGTTGGACTTGATGATCTTAGAGGTCTTTTTCTACCTGAATGACTCTGTGATCTCAGACAGGCCCAGATCTTGGAGAGACACACAACTAATGGAGTTGGTCTTGCTGTGCTAGAGCTCCCTTCAGGCTCTCCCTCCCTCACCTGTGACACTGCCAAGCCCAAGTAATTTCTTTACCTTGATCCCTGCATCCCACAGCTCGGAGATGAGCTTCATTCTGGCAGCAAGCAGGTGTTTCTGAGGTGTAGCCACCAGCACTTGGGTCTCAGTTGTTCGAAGTTTCTCCCCAGAAGCCTGAAGGGACAGACATGGGACATTGATGGGGGTGACTCCGTGGGAATCTGCAGCTCACAACACCTCACCTCATCTATCTCCAGACCTTAACTCAGTCAGTGACAACCTGGGCACCTTTAATGAGCCCCCCAGAGATTCTGCATTGTGTCACACTACTTAATTGTGTGCTGCTGTTTCTCAGGGACCCTGGCCAACCTCCTGGATGGAGGACATCTTCCCAAAGTCTCCTTTGATTCTTCAGGTACAAACACATTGCCTAAGCTTCACTTGCAAGGAATCACAGGCTTGGAACCAAACACAAAATGATAAATCTCCACAGAGGCTTCCCTGGGGTTTATTAGAGTGAGTTCAGAGTCGTTACCAAATTCATTGCTTCAGAATCCCCAGGACAGAAAACTTCAGTGGCAAGACACAATCAAGTGACTGGGGCACGAAGCTCAGAGCCAGGCCCAGAGCTCAAGAACGTCTCTAACATTTCCTTGACATCTCCTAAGGAATGGTGCCCTCAGCTGCCCACACCTGTATCCTGATGTGCTGCGTAAAAGGACTCTGTCTTCTGTGTGCCTAAAGCATGGGAAGCACCACCCCAAAATTATTTTCCCTTGAGCACTGTGGAGCTGGAGAATAATAAACAATATTTTGCTTCCTAGAGCTTTCCCCAATGCACTGCCTGCATCACCCACCTCCAGTCTCTGTTCCAGGATGGAGAAGATGCGCTCGATGCCGATGCTGACCCCCACACAGGGCACCTTGCGGCCCTTGGCATCAAACATGCCCACCAGCCCGTCATAGCGGCCGCCTCCGGCCACGCTGCCAACGCTGAGCGGCTCCTCCAGGTGCTCGTTGTCCTGCTGCAGCAGCACAGCCTCAAAGATCACCCCCGTGTAATAGTCCAGGCCCCGCGCCAGGCTCAGGTCGAAGGAGATCTGCGGGGCACAAGGGCGGCCCCGTCACCGCCCGCTCGGGGCCCAGCGGGGCAGCTCCCCCTCCTGCCCCCACAGCTCCTCACCTTCCCTGTGATGCCAAACAGGGTCAGGTACTCAAACAGCAGCTTCATGTCCCCCAGCCCTTCCTTGGCCACCTTGTTCTGGGATAGCTTTGGGTCCTGGAGAAGCTGCTCGATCAGGTCCAGCCCACCTGTGAGGAACAGCCGTGCCTCAGCTGTGCCAGGGCAGCAGCACCCGGCACGGTGAGCCCGGCCAGCCGGGGCTGTGCCCTGCACCTTCCATCCCCAGCCCTGAACAAGGCCGAGGGCAGCACCCCCTGGTGCTCACCGTGGAGCTGGACATACTCCCCGATGCGATCGGCAGCCTCGGGAGAGAGCCCCTTCTCTCCCACCATCTCACTCCTCACTTCTTCCCATGGCACCTGTCAGGGGAGAGAAGGGCATCAATTGCTGCAGGGTGTTCTCCTCACCCACTGCCTCCATCAACCCACATGGGCACAACTTGTGTGGGACAATAGGCAGCAATCTCACTAACCATGCCCCTCTCTCTCTCACAGGAATTTTTAACAAATCACCAGCCTTTATTCTTAACCAGGCCCAAGAACTCCTCATATTCTTTACAGACCCCATCACAGCTGCTGTGAAACTCTTCTCAACAGGAACAGACACAACACTGCCCAGCCTAAGGTATCTATCCCAAGACCAGAAGTGTTTCCACTGAGCCCAATGCTCACCTTGTCCAGCTTGTCCACGGTGCAGCAGGCAGGGATGAACTGGCTCTCTGGAACACCACAGACAGCAAACACACCATTCAAAATCCGACGGTCGTTGACCTGGGGGAGGGAGAGGCACAATTACCTTGGGGGCACCCTCTGATGTAATTTCTTTTTTGCCTAGTGTGTGGGAAGCTGCAGCTATTGGCATTTCCTCATGCCTTTCCCCCAGCACCCAAATTCCATGGGAAGAGAAGATGTAGAAGTATGAAAGCCAAGTATGAAAACCACCCTGTGACTATATGGATCTAGTCAGCTACTGGAATTCTGCAGACTGTGGTTAGTCCTGGAGAGAACTCTGCTGACTGCAGCCTCAAGTGGACTCCTGGTATTCCCAGCTTAAGGCATGTCCAAGCTGAGGTACAGCCTTTGTATATACACCATGAGGAGGCAGAGATGTGGGATGAACTTCTGGGTCAGGCCTTAGAGTGGGAGCAGGTGCTACTGTGTAAAAGCACAGAACATGAACAGATGACCACTGCTTCCCACCATGGCACAGAGAACCCAGCCAGTCTCACCTTGATGACAAAGTCCCCGAGCTGCAGGTCACTGAGGATCTCGTGCACAATCTTCAGGCACTCGGCATCGGGAATCATGGGGTCAAACTGCCCGGCAATGTCAAAGTCCTGGGGGCAGAAGAAGTGATGGGAGCTCCTGGCAGAGCCAGGAGGCCTTAGCCAGGCACACCCTGCTGCTCTGCAGCAGCTGCAGTGGGAAAACCCTGCTGGCCTTGTGGCCTTGGTGGCAGCAGCGGCCACCACAACACTCACGCACTGGTAGAACTCGCGGTAGCGGCCCCGGGTGGTGGCCGGGTTGTCCCTCCTGTACACCTTGGCCACGTGGTAGCGCTTCATCTTGGTGATCTTGTTCATGGCCAGATAGCGAGCAAAGGGCACCTGGGCCCGAGGAGTTAAGGATGGGAACATGGAGATCCCCAGAGCTGCAGAAGCTGAACCCCAAAGCCTCCCATCGCCCCTTCCCTTTGCCAGCTACTTCCCAATATTTTTCACCATCATGGTGAGATTCTTGGGGTGTCCTGTGCAGGGTCATGAGCTGGACTTGGATGATTCTTACAGATGCCTTCCAACTTGTGATATTCTATAACTCTATGACCTCTGGGGAGATCATCCCCCAGTCTGAGGATGAGTACAGTGAACCACCAGAGCTCCTTCAATGCTGGGACAGCTCAATTTCCTCCTCCAGACCCACTGTGTGACAATGTCACATACACAAGGACACCCTCTCATCATTCCACCCTCTCACAGTGGGATCAGTGGGAATTCAATGCATGGCACAGCTATAGGGACTTTGAAGGAAAGAGATTTTGTTGACATGTGGAGATTGAGAAAGCCTGGGATGAACACCTGCAGGTGGCACTAGCAAGGTGGGATGGGCACGGCAGAAGTGGAGATAAAACCAGTACAGTGGAGCATACTGGTGCATGTCCACAGCAGGAAGGGACTTTGCTGTGAGCCTGGCTGGGAGATGGTGTGGAGTCATGACAATGACAGCCAAACCACCTGAGATGGCCAAGGGAGCTGCCATCACCCCAATGGGACCTGCAGGCAGGCCAGGGTAAGAGCGATCCCTCAAGGCAGAGGTGGCCACTACCTTGGTGTGCCACCATCCCCTCGGGGTGCCACCATCCCCTCGGGAGCACAGGATACGGTGAGGTCATAGCGCAGGGCCAGCAGCTCCCCTCCCTGGTCCTTCAGCTCGTAGATGAGCTTCGCTCCCTCCCCGTACTTCCCCACCAGCGTCTCCTGGGGAGGGACACAGGGGCTGGTGACCGGGTGGCTCTGGGCTGAAGGGTCCCCGAGGTGGGGCACAAAGCTCGGTCCCCACGAAC